AGCGCTTGTTGTTTGTCATTTCTCCGATCACAAATGCAGACATGGGTTTGTTTACGCGGGGCGATGCAATGCAACGCGTAAAAAGACCAAATGCCAAATGCCTGCAACAAATGCCTCGTTCATAATGGGTTTTAATGTTTTTAACTTGTCCCGGCCTGAGCGACGAGACATCACAATATGGCAAGGGGCATAACATTTCCGTCACACGCTTGAGGTATTCGGCCAATCACAACACACTGGATAGTCAACACATATGGCTTGTTGGCTAGTTTTAAAGGAAAAGAGCACTTTTAGATAAACAAGGCAATAATAGATGTCACTTGTGGAGGTAGAAAAACAAAGTTCTTTATGAACCGCAGGATTGCTTGTAATAAAGATTCCAATGCAAAAGGAAAGGCAGTAGAGCTGACTATTTCTGTCAATGGTAAGTTTGTGATAACGTAAGAAAAGTAGTTTAAATGTTTTGCCACTTGCTTGAGCAACTTAATATATAAATCTAGAATTAAATGCAAAAGTAAAAATCATTGAATGATGTGTTGCTTATATTTATTGTTTAAACATGTCTGTGAAAGATTGTATTACTGTACTGTGTAAAAAAAGAATTGCAATGCTGAAAAAGCATTTTCAGTGACAATGTTTAGATTTGAAATCAAAATAATGGAATTATTATAATGTTGGAATAAATGTTGTGTTTGTGGTAAACAGCCACGGATCAGTAGCGGACTCCTGTGTGAAAGCTGCTTCCCCTCTCACAAGAGTCACCTAAGAGGGGAATTTCCCCCATTTTCAAAAATGAAATTCAGGCCCTGAATAAATGTCTAAAAATCCTGACTGAAGTATTACTAAAAAAATATATAAATTATAAAAAGAAGGCTTTAAAAAGAGCGGTATCGGCAGATACTGATTTCTGCGATCGGTGATCGGCCTCAAAAATCATGATCGGAGCACCCCTACAAAATACATTTATGGTAAATAAAGCAAATTGTGAAAATTTAACATGTTTTTAGTCTTTAATCTGTCCTGATGAAGTTCTGAATTGTGTTCACCAACATCTGGGTATGTTTTGTGTCTGTGGTATTATCTCAATCAATGAATCTGAGAAATCTGTAGATTTCTAGAAAGTTTACATCCATCCATCTGTCAATCTCAACATGGAACATTAAAATTTAATTTAATGATTTGAACATTCAGTATTGAAAGGCATGTGTGCCTATAGCCCACAGTGGCTTCTGTGAAATAACAAAGCCCCTCTTTACTTGGCGACATGATTGAGTAAATTACATTTGTTTTCTTTTGCCCTTTGCAGGAGTGAGAAACAGTATGTGGAGAAATACTGGAAAGAGGTGCGGGTCGGAGACTTCATACGTCTGCGCTGCAATGAGATTCTGCCAGCGGATGTTCTGCTGCTCAGCAGCAGCGACCCGGACCGCCTATGTCACATTGAGACGGCCACACTGGACGGTGAAACCAACCTCAAGCAGAGGCAGGTGGTGCGCAGCTTTATCGACCTGGTGAGTGTTCAGGACACTGGTGTGTTTGTTGTGAAATCCCATCGGTTGAGTAAAGAACTGAATAGAAGCATCCTGGTGTCAAGAACAGTTAATGTGATGGTGTGTGTGTTCAGATGGTCTGTGCTTGTCCACTGAGATAACTTCAGTCATTTCACACCACTCACTAAAGTCAAATATTCATTTCCCTCGCCCTGTGTGTGTAACGTCTTAAGATGTCAATAAGAGAGTTGACAACATTAACTGAATATTAAAGAGTAGTTTACCCCAAAAATAATTACCTTAATCTCTGAAAATGTCCATGCTGCTATTGTTTCATACAAAAAGGCACATTAAAAAGTAGTTAATAAGTCTCGTGCCCTATATATTCAAAGTCTTCTAAAATCATAAAACCTTTTGTATGAGGAATAGACTGAAATTTTGCAGCATGAGGTTGATTAGATGATGACAGACTTTTCATTTTTGGGTGAACTGTCCATTAATCATTCAATTTTAAATATTTTATTTATCTTTGCTTGAGATATTTAGTGTTCAGATGCCAAATTACAATCTGTTTTTCATTTGCAGGACTGTGAGTTTGACCCATTAAAATACTTCAGTGTTATTGAATGTGAGAAGCCCAACAATGACCTCAACAGATTTCGCGGATACATGTAAGTATAATGCATTTATGCATTTTAAGGGCATTTACATTATTGCTTAATTTATGGCCCAACCTAATCATTTGAAGAAAATTGTGTTCACGATTTACCCCAACATTCTTAATGCCATCGAAATTTCAAAGATCTTCACTTTATTAAATCTGGGTATTGTGAATAAGTTTGACCCTGTATGTACAGCTAATAATGTCAAATGAAATGTGTATTCCTTCATTATATTCAATGATTATATTTTCCATAAACCATTTAGACAAAGCAGATCTTTCCACTGTTTTGTTTTGCCGGCAGTGATTAAAATTCCATTAGCTGCTGAGATTCAAATAATGGGATGAATGGTTATTTTGTGACCCACATAGATCCAGTTTAATACGGTTGTAATGGAGAGGCAGTGTGTATTTCTCTTACTCCAGCAGTATTCTGATGACTTTTCAGCCCTGTTATTCTACCTAATTATTCTACTGTACCTTATACCACCTCTCACCTGCAGCGTTCTCTGTTGGAGTATGAGAACGGGTCTTTTTGTTTGTTAGGGTTAGGAAATGGAAGGAGGCTATAAATAATGCTGCCATGCTGCTGCTGAAGTATGTGAAAACATTTTCCATATTTGTTGTAAACTGATGAGTTTAGATGCAAACATTTTTTTTTTAAGGGCCGTTCTACGAAAAGCTTCTTTACTATAGACTAGGGCTGCACGATAAATCACATGCGATATTTAATACGCATCTTGTCAGAAAGCCGGTTCTGTAATCAGCGGTAAATCTCCTTTGTAGAAAACGAAGCGTTTGAGAGAGGCGGGGCATAGAGGACCTACAATAATGTACAGTATTTGAAAAATAATGTGTTTTTTGAACATTAAAGCATGTCAACATATTCTGTTACACCAAATACACAAAATAATGATCTTTAAAAAAGCATCATATGACCCCTTTAAATATCGCATGCGATTTATCGTGCAGCCCTACTATAGACACTTCTAAATATATCCACAAAAAAGCACTATTTTAATGTGCTAAATCAAAAAAAAGGATAAAATCATTATCTTTTCAAGAAGTGTTCTCTTCAATGATAAGTTTGTCTTAGGATAAGATGGTCTTGATATTTGTTAATTACCATGCTATAGTATATGCTATATGATCATTTAAAGTGGATATTTATAGAAATATCATCATCATTAAATCCTTGACCTTGATGGCTCGTAATGTGAAATTAAATTGTAAAACAATAATTTTACTGTTAAGCCTGTTACCTTTCTGACAGTATAAATAAATTTATCTGATGGAATGTTTAAAATCTTACAAAAATGTTCTTTAAATGACTTTATCAAATTGGTAAATATTACTGTTTCATAGAATGATCCCAGGAATCCCTGTATTTTCACTTGTTTAAATAGGCTTGTTAATCTGGTATATTTAGACATTCAAAGTGTGGATTAAGATTATTCTTTGTATGTCTTGCAGTCTTAAAGGGGTCCTATTATGCTTTTTCACTTTTTCAACTTTAGTTAGTCTGTAATGTTGCTGTTTGAGCATATAAAAATCTACAAAGCTCAAAGTCCAATTCAAAAGGAGATATTTTAAGCCATTCATGCCAGACTGGGGGGAGAGGTGTTGTAATAATGTAAAATATGTGAAAAAGAATGTGTTTTTCGAACAATCTGGTATGAGAGCCTGTTGTAGTACACCCCCAAAACAAAATCAAGACTTTGTAAAAGAGCATAATAGGACCCCTTTAAAGTCTTTAATGGTGGCTAAAGCATAGGTCAAAGGCTTGAGATTAGCATACATAATATATTTGAGCAGACTGCCATAGCAGTAGTAAAACAAGAACTTCAGCCAAGCCAGGGCTGTGTAGGTTGAAGTATATCTCCTGTATTGTGATGAAAACCTGCTGCACATGGTATGGTAATGAAAGCAGGGCCAGTGAGTCAGCTGACAGGAACCAGAAGGATTATGACATTTATTTCGCTGGATAATGGAGAACAAATGCTTCTGTTGTGATGCCAGCATTTTTCGTCCAGTTACCACAAAGTGGCTTACCGGCCTCAGTCACCTTAATGGTAAATATTATTTAACTAATGTAAAGTGGAGTCAAAAATATCATAATTTTGAGCAAATGAATGACCAAGCAAATTTATGAGTGGGAAATTTTGCAAGTTTGTTTAATTTTACATGCTGTATTTCAGTCATTTCTTCATTTTGAATTCAGTTGCAGTTATTTGGGCTTATTGTTCACAATATAGGCTAGTTCTTTTGTTTTGTTTAGGCTGCTTCTGTGTTATGTGTCTTTTTTGAATGTGTGACATCGTAATAACGAATGCCTGACTCTGAGGTACGAGTTTCCCGGGCGCATTTGAAGGCAGCTTATTTACTCTGGTGCAGCAGAAAATCATCATGACATTACTGACTGACTGATGATACCACACACAGTCCTGTACATTAGCAGCTACTCTGAGCTGTGACGTGAAATGCAGCAGATAATAAACATTTCAGTCAATTACACACTTTTCGTTCGTTCATCCATAAATTAAAATTATTTACTCACCTCCCATGTCGTTACAAGTCTTTATGACTTTGTTTCTTTCTTCTGTGGAACACAATAGAAGATATTTAGAAGAATGTTGAATGTTGGCCCCAATGACATGCATTATATGGACAAAAGAAATGATATATAACAAGTTTATATATACATATATAAGGTGTATATATAAGATGTTTTAGTATTCAAATTTTATAGCAAGTTTCTTATACTCACCAGGGTTGTGTTTATTTGTTTAAAAATAGTTTAAAAAAAAGTAATATTGTGAAATTAAAACAACTGTTCTCCATTTTAATATATCTTAAATTAAACTGAAAAACTGAAGTAATAGTTGTTAAAAAAAAATCAGCTTTGCCATCACAGGAACAAATCACATTTTAAAATCTACTAAAACAGAAAAGTTATTTTAAATTGTATTAATATTTCACAATATTGTATCTAAAATATCTGGTTAACTGGAACAGATTAACTGAATATAATGAAATACACTGAAGCATTTGCAGTTTATATCTTACTTACAATACATTTCATTCCATCAGAGTACATAAATTACATATGAATTACCTTAGAGAAAGATGCTTTTTACAAGCATATGTTATACATAGTTATTACATTTACCATCAAGGGCTAACTGCACCATACTTGACAAGCCATACTTTGACCCCTTTGTCCAAGCTAACAAATAGGCAAATGACTCTGAACTGAACCAGAACTGTGATTGACAGCATGGGGTGTTCAGACAGCTAATATATCAGGTCTGGGTACAAACCAGGGTAAAGCTCAAAGACAAATGCACTACAATGGGATGAAAAAAACTTGCCAGAGGCCTTGTTAAATTGACAAAGGAAAAGTTCAGCGAACAGCTTTTTAACTACCAGATGTAATCCTGAATTTAGCACTGGGATTAGTGCTTCCATTAAACTTACTGAGCTGCCTCCACAGGTGTTTAGCATTCAGCGCTCATTCAGTGCGAGTTCATTGGCATTTGACGCCATTTTTATCAGGAAGCTCCTGGGGCCCCTTGAACTTTTTCCTGTTGTTAGAATCACAAGCAACCTTCAGATCGGAGGTCTCGTTGGATTTAAGATTTCATTCCTTGCCACTCCTTCGCTCTCATTTATCCTGAGAATCTTTTTACTTTGCTCAGTTCTTTTATGACATGACTTTGGGGTTTCACAAAAAGTACAATGCTGCGTCCAGTTGGCCTCAGGGCTTTACCTGTGTACAGAGCCGTTTTAGTGAGGTCATGGCTTTACTATTGATTTTGTGCTGTGAAAGAGGGATCATGGGGGAAACCCTGTGGGCTGTAAAATATGATGTATAGATGTGGTCAACAACAAGGGACGCAGAATTAGGTAGATATCCCTTGGCAGTATCCACATCATATGGTTATAAAGGCCAATCTAATGTAGTTCTAGCAAACGAGGACAGAGCAGTTCAGATTGGAACTAGATTCTAGTGCTGGGCGGTATACCGGTTCATACCGAATACCGGTGTTTATTTTTGTTATGATATTAATTTTTAAAATACCGCAATACCGGTGTATGTCGCTTAAACAACGTTCGGAACGCGACACTGTTTGAAAGGGGTCTCTTTTCACTGTTAAAAAAAAAATACCGTCATGTACCGTGAAACCGGTATAATTTTGAAAAATACCGTGATATCAATTTTTGGTCATACTGCCCAGCACTACTAGATTCTGTATAGTTCTCACAGATATGTTGTGTTACAAGTGTGATGAATGATCCTGCATGGTGTGTATGACAGAATTCATCGTAGTGGTAGGAGAGACGGTCTGTACAAAGACAATCTGCTGCTCAGGGGCTGCACCATCCGCAACACAGAGGAGGCTGTCGGAATCGTCATCTATGCAGGTACACTTCCTTCTTTCCAAACCAGGACTGGAAATGTCCACTGCATTTCTACCACATCTCAAATTATGTATTGTTCTTGGTTAACAGTTAACAGTGGTTAACAGTTCTCTTTTATCTCATTAAGGTAATTTTATCGCCATTTCAAAAATAATTTAATTATTTTAAATATTTTACACTATGCATAATTGGCAAATTATGCTGTTTTATTGGAAATTACATACTTTTAAATATTCTGTTAAAAATTAATTTTACCTTGATTTTTTTTTCTTTTTTACAAGCATCTCATCAAGAATGCAGTTTAAAGACATTTTCAAACAATATATATATAAATTATATCAGTATCTTAGTTTTTTTTTCATATTTTAATATTTTGAAATTGTTCACATTTTTGTATTTAAATGTCTACAAGAATAAAAAAGCTTTACAAACAACATTTAAAAGTGAGCAAAATAAATAAAGGTGTGGTAAATACCTAGTATTAAGACAAAAAAACAATTACAAATGTTGTGTAGTTTGTGATTTTATGTTTACATACAAATACCGTAATTGACCCTTTGCAAAGACCTACAAGCAACTTACATAAAGCGCTTCTAAGCTATTCAAAGGGACAATGTACTGTATCTTAAACTAGATCAGATCATCATAAATGGATTGTATAATTTAATCAGAGAAGTATTTCTGGTTAAAGAACAAGAGTTTCAAATGAATGGATCTTGATTACAGTGACAGCATTACACTTAAATGAACGCTAAATACAACTAGAATAGAGTTAAAAACAGAGATGAATGGCAGTGTTTAACAAATTGTTTTAGTATTAAGACAGACTTCTGTGCATAGAGACGAATCATTGAAAAATTTCAGTTTGAATTGACCCTTCGCCAAGACCCGCCCCCCTTAGTTACTGTTGCTACGTCCGACAAGCCATGGCGCTCTCATGCCACACATCATGCTCTCACGCAGAGAAAAATACATTGCGGAGCAAAGAGGACACTGCTAACACACCGACAGACAAGACAGAGCAGGTCACTTTTGGTATGAAACAGTCTCTGCTGTCAAATTTTGTATTTTTATTTTTTTAAGAAATTCAGACAATAAATACCGTTTTGCGGCTCTTTAATGTGTCGTGACAGATCACTGTAGTGCCTCAGTTGAAGCAGGACGTGAACCGATTATCTCTTCCTCTTTACTAGTTATAGCACAAAATAAACATGAATGAACATCAGAAGGTATCTTGTTTCAACCGCGAAAAGATGTCAGTACACGCCATTTCTCAAGTTTAAGTCCACTGACGTTAGTCTACTCTCCTGTCTGGTTTGTTTGTCAGACAAAATGGTAGATGCGGCGTCATGATTGGTCAGATCACCTGTCAATCAAACTCCCGGAGAAGGGTGAATTGGTTCATTTAAGTTCAAGTCCACCAACGTTAATCTACTCTCCTGTCTGGTTTGTTTGTTGGACAAAATGGCAGATTCTGCATTATGATTGGTCAGATGGCCTGTAAATCAAATTCCCGGTGAAGGGTGAATTGTTTGATAACTGGTCATCTGGCTGGTGCAGCTGATATCATCTTTACAAAAAGTAAGTGTTTTGCTTTGTACTGATTCTTAGGTCATGAGACAAAAGCAATGCTGAACAACAATGGCCCTCGTTATAAACGCAGCAAACTGGAGCGGCAGATGAACGTTGATGTGTTCTGGTGTGTCATCATCCTCCTGGTCATGTGCCTCTTTTCTGCCATTGGTACGTAAAACTTTGCATCAATACAGTTTTTAATTAATGCTATTATTAAAGTTATTAATGATTTCATGCCTGAAATTTTTGTGAGGTGTGCATATATTGGCTATTTTAAATTTTCAGATGTGGCTCATTCCTTCAGTCAGAACTATCCATATAATATTAGTTACTATTGTGTTACTCTTTTGAGTCTTTTGTCTTTAACTAAAGTGTTACATAATGTGAAGCTGTTATGTAATTCATTTATTATGAACATTCTTATCTTTTGCATCCATCAAGTCCCAAATAAAAACAAAAAAATAATCAAACAAGATGAAGTTAGTGTTTAATTTAGATAATCTTGTTATTTTAATATTTAAACAATTTTTAATTGCCTTTTCAGCAAAAATTATTTTTATGCTTTTTACCATGATAAAAAAAGACTCCTACAGTGATTGATGAATGTATCTGATTTGAGGAAGCATTTTAGAGGAAGCTTGTGATTGCACTGTTTCGGTTTCATTCAACATTTTTAGATTCCTTGAACATCTTCAGTGTCTCTTGAATAACAATACCCATGAATCCATTTTGACATGCTTTTTACTGTCAAGTGTTTGTCTCTGAAACCTCCTCTAGGACATGGCCTGTGGATGTTTCAGTATGGAGATAAGAAGCCTGTCTTTGACGTCCTGAGCCCAGAAGGAACAGACATATCTCCAGTGGTCTCAGCCATTTATCTCTTCCTGACCATGATTATAGTATTCCAGGTGAATAGCAAGTGGTGTAAGGGGAATGTTACCATGTGCTTTAGATTAAAATTGATGCTCCTTATGTAGAAAAATTCCAATTCTTTTAGATTTAACCATTCAATTAAATAATGACACACTTTTAATTTTAAATGAACGGTCCCTTTAATTCCCATCTTGTTGTAGGCTCAGCGGTAGTTGAAATGGTGACACTACATGAACCTACAACAAACCTCTCTACTTCTCTTTTTCTCTGGTGCAGGTGTTGATCCCAATCTCGCTCTTTGTTTCCATTGAAATAGTGAAGATATGCCAGGTGTACTTCATCCATGAGGACATGGAGCTGTACGATGAGGAAACAGACTCTCACCTCCAGTGCAGGGCTCTGAACATCACAGAAGACCTTGGCCAGATGCAGTACATTTTCTCTGATAAGACCGGCACGCTCACGGAAAACAAGATGGTGTTTCGCCGTTGTACTGTGGCAGGAGTCGAGTACTCGCATGATGCCAATGGTTAGATTTCTCAGTGTCTGCAGTGCCAACACAAAGGCCAATTTAGTTCTTTTTACACCATTAATCATCTGTATATGAGCAAAATGTTGTATAAATAATAGAGTTGTCAATCAATGTAAAATTTTAATCGAGTTAATTACATGATATGCCAATAATGTAATTAATCACAGTTATTACAAATAATGGCATATATCAAAAAGCCCGCAAATGAAGATCATTCAAAGACATGTAGTAGATTTATTTTTAAAAGGTATTGATACTTTTATTCAGCAAGACATTACATTTTTTTAAATTTGCAAAGATATTATAATGTTACAAAAGATTCATATTCCAATAAATCCTGTTCTTTTAAACTTTCCAATGGACCCTTTTCACACAATGTATGCATTTATGAAAAGCATTGTTAAACCTGAAAAGTTTTCTATATTTTCATTTTATTTTAAATAGGGTTGGGTACCGAAACCCAGTACCAATATGGCACCGGTGCCTATGTAACCGGTATGTACTAGAACCGAATCAGAATGCAGATTTCGGTGCCTCATTTCGGTGCCACTTAAATGCCTGAGCGATCGATTGAAATATTTGTCCTGGTTCTCTGAAATGGACGTAAGACGCATGGGCGTCGCTAGGCCATTTTTAGCGGGGCTATAGCGATTAGCTCCATAAACTGTACACAAATTCATGATCGCCTCAGAGTCAGTCCTCTTTAAATTTCATATGAAAACGGCGGCAGACTTTTTGTTTCCTCCCCGTCTTTCAGCGCGCTCTTCAATTCCGCAGACCGCGGCGGCGCAGCGCGAGCGGACTCAAACATAGGACACAAGGTGTGTGTTTATCGATAGATTGTTATAATTAGGGATGCACCGATACCGATACTGGTACCGGGCCCGATACTGGTCTCCTGTACTCAACTGTGATAATGTGAGAAATGTTGAAGGTGTCTGAATACATTTTGGTTTGACTGAATCTATTTGATAAATGAAGTTAACCAACTAACATTATACATACTATTTCGGTTTCTGTACCCAATATTTAAAAATATTACAAATGCAATAAAAATATTGGTATCGGTACTCGGTATCGGCAAGTACCAAAAATAAAAGTATCGGTATCGGTGAGTTCTCACTGCGTTCACCACTCATCACACCACAGCTGTTTCCTCCAGCGGAAATCTAGCCCTTAACACATATGAACGCATACTTTATAAAAACGATCATATTGCTATTTTCATTTGAAAATATAATATTTAATATAAAACGTCTTAGAGTGAATGTGGCATACCATACAGTAACTCACAGAACTGATTAAAGACAGCACTCAGTCAATTCACTCATTTTAACTAAAAATCAGAGTGATTGACAGAGATATAGTAGAAACATTATGTGTGGTTTTGTATTAAATATTGTTTTGTATTAAGTAATGACCCAGATCGTGAAATACATTTATTAGCCTTAGAGTAAGGGAAGCACAACTCGGGAAATGAGAGCATCCAAGGAGCATGTGAATGCTATGTATATTTATTTTTTATATTTTTAATGTTCTTTAATGTTATCCATCGTTTTTTTTATGTGGCTCTTTTTAAAAAAGTATCGGTTCAGGCACCGTTTAGGCACCGGTACCGTTTTAAAAGTATCGATTTGGCACCGGTATCGTAAAAAACCCAATCGATACCCAACCCTAATTTTAAAAGAGATTTACATTTATACCAACGTGCTTACTAGTTAACACTGCTGTGAGGGTGTTTCTAATATAGTGGCTGTGGGAGTAAAACTAAATTTGACATTGTTCTCTCTTCAGATTGCTGTTAGCAACCTCTCTATTTTATTTTTGCCTTTTTTTTTAAGTCATGGTGTTTTTCTTTTGCTGTTTGAGCAAATGGAAACACAACAAATATTTTTGGTGTAGTCTATAGAAGTTTAGTCTATGCATAGTCTATAGTCTATCTGAAAACCCGGAAATGTGAAAAGGGTCCATTGTCCAAGAAAAGAGTCCTTGAGAAAATGGATTGTGGTTTCCACAAAAATATTAAGCAGCACAACTGTTTTCAAAATTGATAATAAGAAGAAATGTTTTTATTAAGCACAAAATCAGCATATTAGAGCGATTTCTGAAGGCTCATGTGACACTCAAGACTGGAGTAATAGCTGCAGTAAATTCAGTTTTGACATCATGAGTAAATTACATTTTTAAATATTAAAATAGAAAACAGTTGTAATAATATTATTTCACAATATTTCATAATATTACAGTTTTCATCAAATAAATGCATCCTTAGTAAGCATAAAATACTTCTTTTGAAAACATTTTAAAAAACACACATTTATATGTAAACATATCTTAGTTTGAGCTTCTAAATTAACATGATACATTAACAGCACTAATAAATAGATATATATTTTAAAATTAAATGTAGTTCACTGTCTCTAGGGTGACTCAGATAAAAGATTAGCATGAGGAAAAGGCACCAGAAGCCTAGGTCTTCCATATACAGCCCAAATGTTTCAAACAGTGGCAAACTAAGTGTCTTTCCCACAGCGAGGAGGCTTGCTATGTACCAGGAAATGGATTCAGAGGAGGACGACTGTACATCTCATGGTGGAACTCTCCCACGGCGGGACAGCGTCACCAGCCACCAGAGTGGAAAAGTGGTGTTGAGATCACAGAGCACCAAATCTCACCGTCGCACCGGGAGCAGAGCCGAAGCCAAACGGGCCAGCATTCTGTCCAAACACACTGCCTTCAGCAGTCCCATGGTTAGCAAACACTTCCTCTCCAGCTTAAGCTGTTCATGTATCACTCAGTAACCCAACGCTTAATGATATTTTTACTTTTATTTTATTGGTTTGACAGGAAAAGGACATTACTCCAGATCCCCAGCTCATGGATAAAGTCAGTGAGTGTAGTAGTCAGATGGAGTTCATGCGTTTTCACAGTCAGCCCCTGAACCAGATTCCCCCTGACCTGTGTGACATCTTTGACTTTTTCATCGCCCTCACTATCTGCAACACTGTGGTTGTTTCATCACCCAATCAACCCCGCCAGAAGGTAGGCAGACCGACCACTAGGAATTAGCTGAAACTGACATTCACAACCTATTTTACATCAGTAATGTGACGCAATTCAGGAAATTCTGTTCAGAAGAAGTCAGTGCAGAAAGTAAATAGTCAATTTTATAATCATTTCAATCCTGGTGCCTTTTTTTTGTCAGGTATCATGCTTCACTAACAGCTGTTGAGGTCATGGATATCAGTTAAATATAGGTTTAAGATTGAGATTTGTTTTAATCTCAGAACAACTGAAGCATCTTGTGTCATACAAATTTCTTAATGTCTTGTGTGTGGGCTGTGGTGTTTTCTGGCCGCAGTTAACTTCCTTTGATGTTTTTTTTTGCTATGTAGAGTTGGAGCAACTTCCTGTTTCTGTGTAAAAGATATTTATGATTTATCCTTCAAATGTGCAGTGTAGCAGGTTTAGGTATATTGGTGCAGAGCCAGTGGTTGTCTTGTAGGCAAACATCAGAACCTTGAATTTGATGCAAGCAGCTATTGGCATCCAGTGGAAACTGATGAAGAGAAGTGTGACGTGGGCTTTCTTCAGCTCGTTGAAGACCACTCTCGCTGCTACATTCTGGATCAGTTTCAGAGGCTTGATATAGTATATGCCGAAAGGCCCGCCAAGAGAGCATTACAATAGTCCAGTCTTTAGAGAACAAGAGCTTGGACAAGGAGTTGTGTGGCCTGTCCTGATAGGAAGGGTCTAATCTTCCTAATGTTGTATAAGGCAAATCTGCAGGACCGGGCTATTGTAGCGATATGGTCTTGTGTCATCAATCACAACTCCAAGGTTTCTGGCTGTACTGGAAGGATTTATGGTTGACGGACCTAGCTGTATAGAGAAGTTGAGATGAAGTGCTGGGTTGGCTGAGACCACGAGCAGTTCTGTCTTAGCAAGGTTGAGTTGAAGGTGATGGTCCTTCATCCAGCCAGAAATGTCTGTTAGACAGGCTGCATTGTGAACAGCTACCGTTGGATCATCTGGTTTAAATGAGAAGTAGAGTTGAGTGTTATCAGCATAACAGTGATAAGAAAAGCCATATTTCTGAATGACAGATCCTAATGATGACATATAGATGGAGAAGAGAAGTGGTCCAAGCACTGAGCCCTGAGGAACCCCAGTAGCAAGAAGTTGTGACTTAGAAACCTCACCTGTCCAAGACACCCTAAAGCACCTACCCTGAGGTAAGATTTGAACCACTGGAGTGCAGTTCCTGAGATGCCCATCTTCATGAGGGTGGACAGGAGGATCTGGTGGTTAACTGTGTCGAATGCAGCAGACAGATCCAGCAAGATGACTACTGAGGATTTGGAAGCTGCTCTTGCCAGTCTCAGGGCTTCAGTAACCAAGAGCAGGGCAGTCTCAGTTGAGTGGCTGCTTTTGAAACCAGGTTGGTTGTTGTCCAGGAGTTTGTTCTGTGTGAGAAACATAGAAAGTTGGTTGAACACGTAGTAGACACTCGCTTGAGGTTAAATTAAGCAAGCAGAGTGTTGAAGTCAACAGCCTGGGGTTTTTCTAAGTGGCTGTTGAAGTCACAGAGTAGTACCAGAGGAGTACCATCCTCAGGGAAGTTTGAGAGTAACACATCCAACTCCTCCAAGAAGTTACCCAGTTGACTTGGGGGATGATAAACAACTACAAGGTGGATTTTAGCAGGGTGGGTAATAGTAATACAAATTAATTGTTGCCAGTTAGAGATGGTAATTAATTTCCATTAACCTGCAGTTTCTCTATCACAAGTTTTTGTTTTTTTTTTATTAATCATCTTTTTTCAGAGCGAGTCTTTGTGCATAAAGTTTGAGTGTTTTATAGGGTGAATGTGACATGAGACACACCATTATTTTGGCCGTCATCTGTTCATATTTATACACACATATACATATATACACATTTTTGGAGGTCTATACACATTTAAGCAGATGTTCTCAACCAGGAGATCCTAAATTAATTTAAATTTGTTAAACACAATGTTAATTAAATCTTTAAATACACACACGCACATACACAAATAAACACTTCAGCTTGACTTAAAATGTAAAAATGTATAACATGCATTAGGTAACAAAGTATCAAACCAAATAGCATATACAAACAAATTATTAGCTCTTAGAACTAATTTCACTTTTCTTAATCCATTTTGTCATTAGAGATACTATCATATTTTTATATTTTCTGCTTTCATGTTAATTTTAGTTAATAATTTTAGTAATTTTGGTTTTGTATTTGTGTGTTTTTGTTGTTTTTAAATATGTCTATATAGTTATATATGTCATTTTTATTTCAATTTTAGTTTTTTTTGTACATTTTCTTTAAAAATTTAATTATTTAAAAAAACTTTTTAAACGTGTGTGTGTGTGTGTGTGTGTGTGTGTGTATATAGATTGAATGAATGAATTAATGAATATGTAGTTCACTTCGTCTATAGCCTGTACCCCAGTAAGGCAGCTCAGGTTAAAGACTAGCATGAGGAAAAAGTGCCAGAAGCCTTAGGTCTTCAATGTACAGCCCAGATGTTTCAAAGAGTGTCTTTCCCACAGCAAGGAGGCTTGCTATGTACCAGGAAATGGATTCAGAGGAGGACGACTGTACATCTCATGGTGGAACTCTCCCACGGCGGGACAGCGTCACCAGCCACCAGAGTGGAAAAGTGGTGTTGAGATCACAGAGCACCAAATCTCACCGTCGCACCGGGAGCAGAGCCGAAGCCAAACGGGCCAGCATTCTGTCCAAACACACTGCCTTCAGCAGTCCCATGGTTAGCAAACACTTCCTCTCCAGCTTAAGCTGTTCATGTATCACTCAGTAACCCAACGCTTAATGATATTTTTACTTTTATTTTATTGGTTTGACAGGAAAAGGACATTACTCCAGATCCCCAGCTCATGGATAAAGTCAGTGAGTGTAGTAGTCAGATGGAGTTCATGCGTTTTCACAGTCAGCCCCTGAACCAGATTCCCCCTGACCTGTGTGACATCTTTGACTTTTTCATCGCCCTCACTATCTGCAACACTGTGGTTGTTTCATCACCCAATCAACCCCGCCAGAAGGTAGGCAGACCGACCACTAGGAATTAGCTGAAACTGACATTCACAACCTATTTTACATCAGTAATGTGACGCAATTCAGGAAATTCTGTTCAAGTGCAGAAAGTGCAGAAAGTAAATAGTCAATTTTATAATCATTTCAATCCTGGTGCCTTTTTTTTGTCACTTCACTAACTTCAGAAGAAGTCAGTGCAGAAAGTAAATAGTCAATTTTATAATCATTTCAATCCTGGTGCCTTTTTTTTGTCAGGTATCATGCTTCACTAACAGCTGTTGAGGTCATGGATATCAGTTAAATATAGGTTTAAGATTGAGATTTGTTTTAATCTCAGAACAACTGAAGCATCTTGTGTCATACAAATTTCTTAATGTCTTGTGTGTGGGCTGTGGTGTTTTCTGGCCGCAGTTAACTTCCTTTGATGTTTTTTTTTGCTATGTAGAGTTCTTCCTGTTTCCTGTTTCTGTGTAAAAGATATTTATGATTTATCCTTCAAATGTGCAGTGTAGCAGGTTTATGGTGCAGAGTGCAGAGCCAGTGGTTGTCTTGTAGGCAAACATCAGAACCTTGAATTTGATGCAAGCAGCTATTGGCATCCAGTGGAAACTGATGAAGAGAAGTGTGACGTGGGCTTTCTTCAGCTCGTTGAAGACCACTCTCGCTGCTACATTCTGGATCAGTTTCAGAGGCTTGATATAGTATATGCCGAAAGGCCCGCCAAGAGAGCATTACAATAGTCCAGTCTTTAGAGAACAAGAGCTTGGACAAGGAGTTGTGTGGCCTGTCCTGATAGGAAGGGTCTAATCTTCCTAATGTTGTATAAGGCAAATCTGCAGGACCGGGCTATTGTAGCGATATGGTCTTGTGTCATCAATCACAACTCCAAGGTTTCTGGCTGTACTGGAAGGATTTATGGTTGACGGACCTAGCTGTATAGAGAAGTTGAGATGAAGTGCTGGGTTGGCTGAGACCACGAGCAGTTCTGTCTTAGCAAGGTTGAGTTGAAGGTGATGGTCCTTCATCCAGCCAGAAATGTCTGTTAGACAGGCTGCATTGTGAACAGCTACCGTTGGATCATCTGGTTTAAATGAGAAGTAGAGTTGAGTGTTATCAGCATAACAGTGATAAGAAAAGCCATATTTCTGAATGACAGATCCTAATGATGACATATAGATGGAGAAGAGAAGTGGTCCAAGCACTGAGCCCTGAGGAACCCCAGTAGCAAGAAGTTGTGACTTAGAAACCTCACCTGTCCAAGACACCCTAAAGCACCTACCCTGAGGTAAGATTTGAACCACTGGAGTGCAGTTCCTGAGATGCCCATCTTCATGAGGGTGGACAGGAGGATCTGGTGGTTAACTGTGTCGAATGCAGCAGACAGATCCAGCAAGATGACTACTGAGGATTTGGAAGCTGCTCTTGCCAGTCTCAGGGCTTCAGTAACCAAGAGCAGGGCAGTCTCAGTTGAGTGGCTGCTTTTGAAACCAGGTTGGTTGTTGTCCAGGAGTTTGTTCTGTGTGAGAAACATAGAAAGTTGGTTGAACACGTAGTAGACACTCGCTTGAGGTTAAATTAAGCAAGCAGAGTGTTGAAGTCAACAGCCTGGGGTTTTTCTAAGTGGCTGTTGAAGTCACAGAGTAGTACCAGAGGAGTACCATCCTCAGGGAAGTTTGAGAGTAACACATCCAACTCCTCCAAGAAGTTACCCAGTTGACTTGGGGGATGATAAACAACTACAAGGTGGATTTTAGCAGGGTGGGTAATAGTAATACAAATTAATTGTTGCCAGTTAGAGATGGTAATTAATTTCCATTAACCTGCAGTTTCTCTATCACAAGTTTTTGTTTTTTTTTTATTAATCATCTTTTTTCAGAGCGAGTCTTTGTGCATAAAGTTTGAGTGTTTTATAGGGTGAATGTGACATGAGACACACCATTATTTTGGCCGTCATCTGTTCATATTTATACACACATATACATATATACACATTTTTGGAGGTCTATACACATTTAAGCAGATGTTCTCAACCAGGAGATCCTAAATTAATTTAAATTTGTTAAACACAATGTTAATTAAATCTTTAAATACACACACGCACATACACAAATAAACACTTCAGCTTGACTTAAAATGTAAAAATGTATAACATGCATTAGGTAACAAAGTATCAAACCAAATAGCATATACAAACAAATTATTAGCTCTTAGAACTAATTTCACTTTTCTTAATCCATTTTGTCATTAGAGATACTATCATATTTTTATATTTTCTGCTTTCATGTTAATTTTAGTTAATAATTTTAGTAATTTTGGTTTTGTATTTGTGTGTTTTTGTTGTTTTTAAATATGTCTATATAGTTATATATGTCATTTTTATTTCAATTTTAGTTTTTTTTGTACATCAAGTTAAACTAAATGAAAATGAGAAACGTTGCCTTGGAAACTAGCTAAAATAAATGAAATAAGTTGTTTTGTATTTTATTTTAGTTAACATTTATTTTATTTCAAGTGTTTTTCCTTCAGTTCACTATAATTCTGGTTCACACAGGTGCCTTCGTATTTTCTTTTAGTAAAAAAAAAAAATAATAATAAGTTTAATTTATAGAGCTCTTTTCCAGAGCTCAAGCGCTTTACAAATCAAAACATGAACACAACAAAAACAGAAAAATACAAGAAACAATACAGTATACATATCAATCATCAATCAGAATCAAAGACATAGTTTGGAGTGAGAAATATACAATTATCTGACAAAGTCCATGCAGCAAAATAATTCATATAATATTAATCATAATTTATAATATTAATTGAATTATTTATTCAATTCATAATTAATAAAGTGCTATCATTTAAAATAAATGCCTCACTTTGATATTATATTTGAAGCAATTGAGTTCAGGCTGCAGTATGCTTAAGTATTCAAAAACTTCTTGGGGTCACTGTATGTGCGGTTTAAAGAATTCTTGCAATCTATTATGGAATGATTTACAAATGAACCTCCCAGTTGGCTGCGATATTAAATGCACACAAATATTTAAGGAGTTTTGTTTTGACAAATTTTTCTTGGTTCTTATCAAGGTGCGTCGCTACGAGTTGAAGTCTCCAGTGAAGACCATTGAGGACTTCATCAAGCGCTTCACTCCGAGCCGTCTGACCTCTGGCTCCAACAGCAGCAGCTCCTCCAGTCTGGCCACCAACCGCTCGTCCTCCCATAAAGTGGGCTGCAGCCTGTTGTCTTCCCCCTCGGCCGAGAGCACGCTCACCAAGCTGAACGAGGAGAAGCGTCCAGAGCATGACCTGCAGCATGCCTTCAGCCCCGTCCCACCCAACTTTGAAAAAACAAAAGCTTTGGCTCAAGATGAATGCGAGCTCCGATATGAGGCAGAGTCACCGGATGAGGCAGCGCTGGTTTATGCAGCCCGGGCCTATAAGTGTGCTCTTGTCGGTCGTTTACCGGATCAGGTGACCGTAGAGCTTCCACACTTGGGCAAGTTGGGCTTCGAGCTTCTGCACACACTGGGCTTTGATTCCACAAGAAAGAGGATGTCGGTGGTGGTAAAACACCCGCTAACCGAACAAATCACAGTCTACTCCAAGGGTGCTGATTCAGTCATCATGGATTTGATCAGACCAGCCACAGGTATGTCAACATTGATGAGCACTTTGTTCCCACACTTTATTTCTAGGGTTCAACATTTTGGCTGCTCCAATGCATTTAATAATAGGACAGTCCATTTCAGAAATACTGATGCATTGCATTGTATATTTAAAATATGAAGCTCAGATTTGAGAAAAAGTTAATATGCTCACAGTGACGCTGGTTTGGGTCCGGCTTGTGTCGTGTCCCGATCCCAATGCCCCTTTCTCTTCCTCTGTTTCATATACGTGTCTGTGTTTATGTATGTGTATATATGCATGTATTATCATTCAAAAGATTGTGCTTCATGGGTCGGTAAGATGCATTTATTTGATCAAAAATGTTGTGAAATATGATGTAAAAATATAATGAAATATTATCATTTAGAATAACGGTTTTCTTTTTTAATATATTTTAAAATCAATTTATTTCTGTGATGATGACAGCTGAATTTTCAACAGCCATTAAACTGGTCTTCAGTGTCACATGATCCTTCAGAAATCATTCTAATATTGTGATTTAGTGCGCAAGAAACATTTTTTTATTAATATCAGTGTTGAAGACGGTTGTGCAGCTTAATATTTTTGTGGCAACCATGATACTTTTCTTTTCATTTTAGGATTCTAAGATGAAAAGAATAACAATGTAAAAGCTTTTATTGTCACTTTTGGTCAATTTAATGCATTCTTCCTGAATAAAATTATACAGTATTTCTTTAAAAAGAAAAATAGTTTATAACCACCTTAAGTGATGCATTTTTTTTTTTATAAAATGTTCTTATTCAAAGTTTGAAGCTGCAGTTTTGACAGTCTTGTAGCTTCTAAAAGACACTTTCTAAGAATTCACCATCTATAATTTCAAACGTCTGTAACTTTTTTTAGAATTATTATTTTTATTTTCTAATGGTTCTCCTCTTTTATATTTGGAATTCAGAATAACAAACACCTGGCATCCTGTCAACCTTCCCCCTTATGAAATGAATCAATTATTCTGGGTTAGTTTATTTTGATGTTCAGTGTTGATTATGCTTTAGAATGCTTGTTGATCATACTAAAGTTTTAAAGAAGTCTGTGTTTTTGTTTTTTTCCATGCCCCAGTTAGATGGCACATGAGGCTTATTCCAGCAGAATTAATGAATAACGGCTCACAGCCAAATGGCCAAAAGACATCTGATTTCTTCAGGACATTGAATGGATACATTTTTTATATCTCCAAGAAATTGAAAGAGAGAGAGCCACCATCTACCAAGAGCAGAGAGTGAGACGGTGTGCTTTTTCAAGGAAATGTTTAGAATTTTTCATGTCTTTGGAGTGCTTAAAGTAGCCTCTGGATTTTGACTTACATTGTTGATCTATGCTGATAGACATAGTCAGCATAGTAAGGGCAATACGTCCCCTTCACTCAAACATCTTCTGGATGGCTTCCAGATTGTTCTCTGCTCTTGATGTAGCCAAGGGTTTTAGCGGTAATAAACTATCCTAATTGCATAGGTAGACTGGCTTGTTAGTATTCCAGGCATGAGAAAAGCTCCAGTAGCAATTTTCGCTAATACTGTGTACACAAATGACTGAAAAGAAGTACTACATGCACTGCCCTGTGCTTTATATCTAAATGTCAAGATGACAGCCAAGAAAGAGCTAAAACTATGGCTTAGAATAGTTCACAAGCGGTCTGTTTGCTCATCTTTTTGAAGGAAAGAGCAGAAGAAATCAGAACATGGGTTTTTTCAGTGTTCTTTTTCTTTTTTTTAACATTTGTTTCAGTGTAGTATATTACAATTAGAAAAGAGAATGATTTATCACTTGTTTTATGAAAAACAAAACACACATTTGTTGTAATGTATTTACATTAAGTCAGTATAGCAATTGAAAAAGTTTGAAAAGCAGGAATGTGAAGCTGATATTTTGGTATTTGAACAGTAATATTTGTCTAATTGTCACAGGCTACTGTTCTAAACAGACAAACCCCTGGTGTTGCCAGTACCCTTCCTTTGGATGGAGCTTTCTAGTTTTCTTGTCTGTTTCAAAGATTGGCTAATATTTTGCAGACCACAAAAAAGTATTAAATAACATTTAAAAAAAAAAGAGTATTTTTTGTCATGTTTTCCAGTTAAAATATCTAAATATACTCAAACCAAGATGAATTTACTTGAAGCAACACTGCATAAGATATTAAGTGTTTATACTTATAACAAGTGTCATTATGTTTATTTAAAAAAAAAAATAATAAAAATAACCCTAACCGCCGACGAACACATATTCAGGCCAGTCTATAAATTCAAGTCTTAATAAATTGCAGTGTTTCTTCTAAAGTGAATTTGTCTTTTTTCAAGGATATTCAGTTTTTTACATTTGAAAAAAAAAAAAAAAAAACTAAGACTAGTTAAAACCGATAGAATAGAAGTCTCCGATAGATAAAAGTCCCTGGCTTTTTTTCCCCCTAAAAAAGGATGTCACAATACAGAAAAAAGATCTGTTAATTTATTATCATTTATTAACATTATCATTTATTTTATTTTTTATTTTTTTACACAAAGTGTTATCAAGTAAGTATATCACACTAGTCTAATTGTTAACATGTTTAGGTGCTGCTATATATTTTAAAAAGTGTTTTGAAGTTTATAGTGGTGGAATATCTTGCCCCATAGAATTGCATTGAAAGTGCATTTAAGATTTGTACAATTGAGATTTTGATTATTTTTCCAGCTATTTGGATCAAAAGTATTTCTAGTGCCATTGCAAGTAGTTGGGAAGTTGTGACATTTCCTCTTTCTGCCATGTGTTTAGCTGGCAGTCTGGAAATATGTTTAGAGACCCCAGGCTTATTAAGTGTCCAGCCTATGCTGCAGTTAGTTAGCATAAAATTGCACACTTAGTCTGTGCCTCACTACAGGTTATGGACTGTTTCATGCACATAGATGCACATGCTTGGTATATATTCCTGTACTTCTGGACCACTGTTCTCCTCTGGGTGTGGACTTTCAATTAGCACAGCAGACCAACTGAAGGTACAAGGTGGGATGTTTGCCATGCTTGTCTAATAACACAATGCACAAAAAAAAACAGCCTACAGGTGCCAGCCTGAGCCGCACAGCTTTCGAGACTTTGACAAGTAAATTGTTGTAACATTGAAGTTATAACTTCATTGACATAAAGCTGTCCTGACTAGGCAACCACAAAGATTTGGAAACACAAACAGTACTTGTGTGTTTCCAGTCATTATGTAACGTGTTGAAATGAAGGACATAGACAAAAATGTTCCAAAGTGTGCTCCGTTACAAATCTTGGAACAGACACCATGTTTTTGCTAGGGGAATGGCAGTCATTTCCTTCTTTCAGTAATATGAAACTGGTGTGTAATTTTTATTTCTCTGAGTAGCCACCTCTCTGGTTAAATTCTCAGACTAAATTTGCTAGTTATTATATAATACATCAAAACGGCCATGTCTAGACCTTCTGTTGTTATTTGTTTTATGTTTTGTTTGGGTTTGGTTTGTTTTTTGTGTTTTGCTTTGTTTTTTGGTGTGTTTTTTTTTATTTTTGAGGGTGTTTGTTTTGTTTTGTTTTTATTTTATTTAGGCAAGCTTTACAGGTGAAGTAGTAGTTTGTTGTGTTTTTGTTTTTAATTTTAAAGGTGAAGACTTACTTTAGTTGTTTGTTTGTTTGCTTGCTTGCTTATCTTCTATGGCTCAGTCAAGCTTTCAACATTCTCTGCACATACTTTAACTTACTTTTGTACATGCTGAAATATTTCTTTTGTATATACTGAAATACTTCGGTTCATAGGTCGTCCCACACGGAATGAGCTGTGGACATGAATGATGCCACTCCATTTGTGTTGCTAGCAGTTTAAAAATTGCCCACTTCACCTTTTAAATACTGTTGCTTATATTATGAAAGACTTCAATACAATTTTCCTTTTCACTCTTTGAAGGATCATGTCAGGGCATGATATGGGGATTTAGTTTACCTATAGGTTTATTAAGAACATTTAATTCCTGATTCAATGCATCAGTCTCTGGAAAAACAGGTCCAGTCGTCCCACAGTTGCAGGGGTGGTGATGAATCATTCGGTGAATATATGAGGTTTGGCACTCTCGCCCCCTCGACTTGGCTGACGGTCGTCCATGTTGGGAAGTGATCATCCCAGTTTGTTCTGCTCTTCCTGCCAGGAAGCAATGCACTGAGCAATAAAACAGGAGCAATAAACCTCAAAATGCTCTGTAGCCAGCTTATCCAATCAACCTGTCAAAACACTCTGCCATCTTGATTAAATCTAATGGCCTTGTTGAGGAAGCCATTGGCAACATAGAGAACCAGCCGTGAAGAGGCTGAAGTGATTAGTTTAGCTGTCTACTTACAGTATGTGTTTTTCACACTGTGTGTGTACGTTTAACATTACTTTAGTAAATCCTACTCTAAATGTTAGAATATTTTGATGGATTGTCTAATTTTCTTTTTGTTTTTCTTTGTGTTTTTGTATTGCAGATGATTGCAAAGGAAAGCGACAAAGGAAAATCTTGTATAAAACGCAAAACTACTTAAATCTTTATGCTGCAGATGGTCTCAGAACACTCTGTATCGCCAAAAAGGTAACACTAACTCTCAGTAACAATTAGATATTTACATTTTTTTTAGGGGTGACAATTGAATAAGTACGTTTCGATGTATTAATAACAATTAATTATATACAAAACAAAAAATGTATGTGTGACTATATTAAATTTCAATAAATAGTAAATGGGCAACACATCCTGTGTGTTATAATATATAATATAATATAATATACACTTACAATTACCTTAATTTGGGTTTTATATACATATATATATATATATATCTCTCTTTAGTGTTGACAGCCCTAAATTTTATTTTGTCATTTACATTTTTGGTTAAACTTTACTGGATAAAAAAAAAAAAAGTGTTTGCATTGAAAATGTAAAGGTGTTTTTGTACCGATGGTTTACAAGTCTAGATTTTTTTCCCAGAGTGCTGTGTGACAGATCTCTCACGCTTTCTCACTCTCTGTCCACTTTCTCTCATCTCTCTTTCTCTGTCCATATCTCATGGATAGTAATATATGCTCTCACTCTCTTCTCTGACTTGTTAACTCGGTGTCTTGAGTTCCTTGTGGGAGTCTGGTTGCCAAATGATGTGAGATGTTGTTTTTGTTTTGTTTTTTCCCCTGATTATTCAGCAAACTTTCACATGCTCCCATGAACCTATTGAAGCAGATTTCAGCTGTCATTGACAATCAGATTTTTAACCAACAAAATGCATTACTTTTTTCCCCTTTTTCTCACTAAAGCCCAGCTATGATCTAACACTTCTTATATATTTTAATAAAAGTATGAATTCTAGCTTTTCTTTTTGGCATGTTTCATTACCACTGTTGCTAAATAGTCACCTTAACAGAAGGGAAGCCTTGAACAGCTTGCATACAGTTATTTTTCACACGGTTAAGTGTGAATTCATACATAAATGGAGCTGTTTAAAGTTTAACAAGCCTCTTTTTGTGTTAGTTTTATTTTCTCCACCTGTTTGTTTTTTAAGCCAGCAACCAGAATACCTTATTGCGTTCTTCTCTCTTTTTTTCTTTTTTCACACGTCTCTTTGAAGCTAGAAAAACTTTTTTAAACGGTACTACAGTGTGACAACCACTGCTTTATCAAAACCCATTTATTGCAAATAATATTTATTGAACTCCTTGAGCTGATGTTACACCTCTTTCAGTGATGTGATTGTATTTGTTTGGTCCAGGTTCTCAGTAAGGAAGAGTATGCAAGTTGGCTACAACGCCACCTGGAAGCTGAGACGGCCATACAGAGGAGGGAGGAGCTGCTATTTGAGTCTGCATTAAGACTAGAGACCAATCTCCAACTTCTGGGTAATAATAGTTCCTAAAGCACACTTAGTCCATTAAGTACTAAGTTACACCTGGCGTTAAAGCGATAGTTCACCCTCAAGTTGTTTCAAACCTGTATGAGTTTCTTTCTTCTGCTGAACACAAAAGAAGATACTTTGAAGTATGTAAGTAACCAAACAGTTGCTGGTCCCCATTGACTTTCATAGTATTTTTTTTTTCCATACTATGGACTTCAGTGGCTACCTGCAACTTTTTGGTTACCAACATTCTTCAAAATATCTTCTTTTGTGTTCAGCAGAAGAAAGTAAGTCATACAGGTTTGGAACAACTTGAAGGAGAGTAAATGATGACAGAATTTTCATTTTTGGGTGAAATATCCCTTTAATATTTTGGGATTCAAAACACAAGTGCTTAGTACCACACACAAGTGGGTACATGCATAAAATCTCTCTGTCTGTCTTTTTAAATAGGAGCAACAGGTATTGAGGACAGACTTCAGGATGGGGTTCCCGAGACCATTGCCTCTCTGAGGAAAGCGGGCCTTCAGATCTGGGTGCTGACAGGAGATAAACAAGAGACTGCCATCAACATTGCCTATGCCTGCAAACTGCTGGACCCAGAGGAGGAGATGATCACTCTTAATGCTGACTCACAGGTACACCCAGCATGCACTGCTGCAGTCTCTCCTCATGGGCTCCACTCTTTCTCCTCACTTCCTTCTCCCTCTGAATGCTGACTGAGTGAGGCTCGGCCTATGTCTAATGACTGTTTTGATAAACAATTGATCTGTTGATTACTTCTGCAGTTAATCATTTAATCAGATTCCTCATCTCCAAACAATATGAAGCTGAAGGCTACACTATCACTAAACTGAATTTGAGAACCTATTCATTTAAATTTGAAATGTTTGAAAGAATTTATTTGCTGAAATGTCTCCGAATTCCCAACACTACTTGTGTTTTACATATGTCTTATTAAAAAAATAACTATTATTCTCAGGCTGCCCACTCCAGCTGACAACTTGCCTACAACTACAGAGTTTGGAAAATGTTTAATATCAGTTCTCACAAGAGGTTGAAAGCCTTTTTATAATTCTATTATATCTTTGGAGTAGATTCTGTTTGATCTTGTTTATTTATTCTCTGATTAGATTTTTTTGTTCTTGTTTTGCATTTTGCTACCAGGAATGACAGAAATGTCTGAAGGTATTGCCCATGATTTGTAGGCCTGATTGTTCCAGTTGAAAACACAAACTGTAGTTCCATTTCTCCCACTATTGTACCTTTTTTTTTTTTTTTCCCCTCACTCATCTACCATATGAGTTTTTTTCCACTATGAGCTTTTTAGTCTCCCAAGGGCTGATTACTTATTTTTTATATGATTATATTATATTTAATAGGTATTATTATTATATTTATTATTAATTGATCTCAACACTTTTCCTTTGTTATTTGTTTGTCAAATATCTACTATGTGAAAGCAGCTAAGCACAGGCACGTAATAAAATATATACTTTTTTTTAATTGTTGATTGATTTTCAAGTTCTAATTAAGTAAATATTGATATCAATTAATATTAATAAATTGTAATTATAGAATATCTCAGCATTTATTGTAAATAAAAATAAAAAATATTTTTTTGTTTTTAGATTTGTGCCCTTGTAATCTTTAATCATAACTTTAAATAAAGTGATATCACATATGTTGCCTTCATATCAGCCAACCTGCTCTCTAAGATAACAGCATCAGCCATCAAATAGTCCTTATCAGGCCAGCACAAATGAAAATATTTAATAAGGTAATTTATTTAGACCTAAAGGGCCAAAAGTGTTTATAGTTGAAAAAACACCCATATACCAAACTATTTGCGTATTCCCCTGCATGACATTGTGCACTATTAGACTGTAGGTGTTTCCCCATAGAACAGCTGGACTGGCTTGAATGAGCTCTCATGTTTCATTTTGTCTCCTTGGAGAACACGTGAAGCATCCACATGAGTTTTGTTTTGAAAAACCACACTGGCAAAGAGCTATCATACAGGAATGTCTTAATCACTGACTCGCTGTATTAGTCAGAACTTTTTCCTTGCTTAAAGGGATAGTTCACCCAACAATAAAACTTGTCATTTACTCACCCTCATGTCATTACAAAGCTGTATGACTTTATTTCTTCTGTGGAACAAAAGAAGATATTTTGAAGAATGTTGGGAACCAAGCGGTTTGGATTACTATTGAACAAAAAAGAAGATATTTTGAGTCTCAGTGATTTTTATGTTTCACTGAAGAAAGCAAGTCAGAGGTTTGGAATCACATGAAGGTGACTAAATTATAACAAAATTGTTTTTGTTGTTTGTTGTTATTGTATTTTTGGGTGGAGTATTCCTTGTATAAAAGTGATTTGGTACAGTAAATTTGTTATATAATTTATACCATAATTGTGATCTGTTTTGTTGCATTTCTGAGCTGAGTCAACCTTTTTTTTTGGTAAATTTCTCTGTTTGTCAGATGTTGTCTAACCCTCATGAGATCTTTGTGTCCTTTTACGACCGTCCTGATGGTTTTTTTTTTGTTTTTTTTTTACATGTGAACTCTTATAGGAGGCCTGTGCTGTATTGCTCGAGAACAGTCTGCACTACATCCAGGCCAAGTTCCTTTGCAACCCTCAACCAGATCCTCAAGCAGCTAGAGACTATGCTGGCATCCACTTCTCTTCTCCGGTGGGTTCCTCGGCCTCCTCTGGCCACTCCAGCCCCTTCCTGGTGCACCGGCTAGGGCTGGTGATCGACGGCCGGACCTTGGCCTACGCACTGGACAAGAGTTTGGAGGACAAGTTCCTTGCTGTGGCTCGAAGTTGCAGGTCCGTTCTATGCTGTCGCTCGACGCCCTTGCAGAAGAGCATGGTGGTCAAGTTAGTGCGTAACAAGCTCAAGGTCATGACGTTGGCAATAGGTAAGTGGTGGATTTGTTTGGTTGTTTTTTATGATTTATCTCTTACAGTGTTTGTTGCAAATGCTTATTCTCAAGTGGGTTTTTAACAGTTTAGTTTAGTTGAATTTGTTGCATGAAAAAAGTTTTTAAAGCCCAATTTGCAAGCCAATCCCCTAGTGGCCATAAACATCACACAACTGCAAGACAATGCACACAAATGAACTTCACTGTGTTCCACGGTACTAATGCAGGTTACTCTGTTTGAAAGAATAGCTCGTTCAATATTGAAGATGGCATCATTTACTCACCCTCACGTTGTTCCAAGCCCAGAAAAGTTTTTGCTTAAAATCTTCAAATATGCCCGAGTTGTCCTTGACTGGTAGCAATGGTTTTTAAAACGATTCACAAAACTCATCTGAATGATTCCTTTCTGAATCTAGCACTGGAGTTCAGCTGAATGGGAAGATTATCAGTGCATAATAATGTACATAAAGTCGATTGGACCACTTTTATGAAACATTTGCATAGGGCTGGGCGATATAGCTAAAAAATATATCAACGATACATGTTTCATATCGTTCGGTATCGATCATTATTGACATTTTTTATAACCTTTTTTAAAACAGAGCAATAGAAAAAAAAAATTTGATGTAACCACTGTATTTTTCATTTGCCCACTTTATTAAGACAAACAACAAATATATATATATATATATATATATACATATATATATAATTTTTTAAGTCAAACACAAAATAACATTTGAACATATCTCCTTTCTTATGTTTTATATGCAGATTAAACAAGTCTTAAGGAAACTTTTGACTTGTTTCCCGAGGCGAATAACACAGCAGCGGCGCGTCTCTTGGGCTAGACTAACAAAACATTAAAATGCAACGTCACTTACATCATCACCGCATCTCGCGCACTACTGATGACGATCCCTGACGCATTCCTAACATACGATTGTGCTATTTTTGCATTCAAATGCAAATGTTTATTTTAAGTTAGACTAATATTAATTTTTTTGAAATTGGTACCGAGAACCGTGGATTTTCACTGGTATCGGTACCGAATACTGAAATTTTGGTACCGTGACAACACTAGTAGCCACACTTTACTCCCTGACTTAAGTGTAGAGTACAAGAGGAATGAACATTGTAAAGCAGGATTGCAGAGTTAATGCACCACATTTCTGGATATATATAATTCATGTTTTATGAAGATGTTTTGGCCAAGATACAGAGACAGCCTGTACTCAGACAGTTAATAAATGGTACCTTACACCAGTGGTTCTCAGCTGGTGGTTCATGACCCAATTATGAGTTGCAGTCTCTTCTGATAGGGTCAGCAACAGGGAAAACAACTCTAAATACAAATAATTAAATTCTGTTAACAGTATTTTTGAGTATACTGTAGTTACATATTTTTGTTTTGTTCTACAGCATAAATTACACTATTTGAACATTAATATGAACTTATAAGCCACTGTTTTTTTTCTTTGTTCATATTATTTTTTTATTATTATTATTATAAATAACTGCCACAATAATGTGATTATATGTGCTTGACAAATCAGAGCTGTAGAGCCATGATATGATGGCTAAATACCAGGGCTGGGTAAAAAATATCGATATCTCGATATTAATCGATTCTCATTTTTACGGAACAATATCGATTCTTAAATCCCAAGAATCGATTAGTCTAGCCTGTTTTCAGTTAATGGACGGAACATTGAAGGGCACTTCCCATCCAATATATCGCAATAAACATTGTGCTTTGGTACTTTTAATATGAAACAAAGTCTCAGATTTCAAATTCTGTCCATTGTATTGCAGTATTCAAACAATAAATGCCATTTTGGCGCTGTTTAATGTGGAGTGACAGATCGCTGTAGCGCCTCAGTTCAACAGACGCTGCAGCGCAAGGCGCACATGAACTGATCATCTCCTCCACATTAATGCCAGTTTCAGCACAAAATAAACATGACTAAACATCCGAAGTTAGGTTAAAATAAAGAGTACAGCTTTACAATCCGTATCCTGTCTCATGTAATCACTCAATCAGTGTTTCCTCAGTGCAAAGATGTCAATATAACGGCTTGTAAACAAACAATGTCACGTAACGTCACATTTACCTCAGAAAAACATATTTGGTGACCATAAACTCGATAGTCAGCCAGAAAAATAAACTGTAGAGAGGGGCATTTTGCTAAATATGTGCACCATATAACATTCATTATAAATTTGACTGTTTTTCAATGTTTAATTTATGTTTGAATAAATCCATCAAGTTTTTATGACAGCCACCATTATGTTTATATTTAAAAAAACAAAACAAATTGAAGTAGAAATATTATGTAATTGTAACTTTATTTTAAAAA